GGGTAAAGTTAAAATAACTTGCATAATATAACGTTAGACGGCTTTTGTTACATGTACAAAGACAAATATTAAAGCTACCTTTGAGCGGATACTTTTATGACCGATACTTGACCGAGATCAATTACCATTTAGATATCAATAATTGACCAGAAATTGATTCTTCAGCATTCCGAAATCGCAAATCAGCGGACTTCGAAGATGACATCAAGTCTGGATTGTTTTCAAGAAATTGAAGAAATCAAAAGGTATGCCATAAATTTATCGGAAGTGTAAATAAAAAAAAATATTACTGTCTGTATGCAGAGAATTATAATAATAAACGTTTAATTTGCATTGACTTTAAATGCACTGAATACGGTCTGAATTTATCAATTGAGGCGCGAAAAACCCAACATGTTTCTTTAATAACCAATTAATTTTTTCTGAATTTATCAATTGAGGTGCGAAAAACCCAACATGTTTCTTTAATAACCAATTAGTTTTTCTATGCGGATGGTAGATTATAAGTCAAAACCTAACAAAATGGGGACATCAAAAAATATAGACATTTAAAGTGAATTTTTCTTGTGTTAAAAAATTGCATAGAAAGATTTTTATCATCAGTCAATTCTTCACTCTTTAGAACCCAATTGATAGAATAATAAAAACTACTGACTTAACTGAACTTGAACAACCATTACTTAAATTGACCATCATCTACACAACAACAAAGAGGCCTGCAACCGTCGCAGAGTTCCAAGGAAATCCCCAGGGCTCAGCAAGAGCTCAAAGAGGTTGCATGCATGAAAAGAACAGGAATGTTCCGGGCTCAGTACGGATTTTAAATTGCCTTGTGCTCTAAACACGAGAAAAAAAAACGGGAAAAACGGGCAAAGATTCCACTCCATGAAAGAGTTTGGAAAGGTCGCATGCTAGGCACGAGCTACATGCGGCAGGGCCGACATTTACATGCAGCAGTAACACTAAACGTTGCTTCGACACGCGCTTCTGCCTAACTTGTTTCCCGGAAACCCTTAACTATTACACTGCTTTGCGCTCTTGAAGTAAGTGTATTATAAATACAGCGTGAATAATAACGAGGAATTTGAATAGAGCGACGAAAACTTACGGCCCGCTTCTCGTCCTAAACTTTGGTATGACGCTGCCTCCGTGACAAGTGGCAATTTAATATAATTAAATTAGGAGACGGTGCGATAATGAACATGAAACGTAACTATATTATGCCATGACATAACACTTTTAGCGGCCCGTTTTCCGTCGGGCTGGGAGATATGGAACCTTGAAGCAGGCATGCATGCACTCGAGTACTACGTAATATTGGCCTCTAGAATACGTTGCTCGTCTTGGAGCAGAAAAAAATAAGGTAGAAAGGCCAGATTTGCTAAATAATGTAAATAAAAACAAATGATCATTCTGGAGGGCATTTATTTCCTTAAAATTAAACATATATAATCGCATTTGTAGCTGTCATTTGTGTTCACCATAATTTTTATTTTCCAGTTTACAGTAAGTTGTCTAGAAACTTAGTATAGTCCGGTTGAAAGAAGTTCACTTCTCAGGTTCCTGAGGAAGTTAGTTACACACCTTGATAGCAATTCGGCTAGTTCATTTGTGGACATGATCTCACATTATTGAATATTTGGTTCATATACAAGTTATTTAACTTGAATTCCGTACTTTTGTAAAATTTTTGTAGAAACATTATGACGTTGAATATAGGACTAACATCCTGCCACGGTAAAACGTTTGAGAATACAACCTCCACAGTGACAGGAACAGCAGAAAATATTTTTCTTCAGGGTTTCTTTAAAAAATTTTAAGCGAACACAAACATTTTCGTCTCAAACACGTTGAGTGCATGCATTCTATACCAATTTATCGTTTTGAATTAAAAAACGTACATGCATCACCCTTCATAGTATTCGTGGGACTTGAGGAAATATGAGGTGGACTATTGTTCATCATACTTCAAAATATTCAAACTCCAAATATCAACAAAATAAAAAAAATCAATATGAGAAGGTCCCTTTCAATTCGTGAGTATATAGCATTCATGTAACTTGCACCATTTGTAATCGGAATAGAGATGTGCAGCAAACGGTACTAACATTACAACGGAACTTGCATTTGTACAACGTAGCCTCACTGAACAGCCGCAAAACAAAAAAGAATCAACTGACATTTGATGTGGTTTGATCACAAACAATTCAAGTAAGTTGTTGGAGATCACCAGGAAAGAAATTGAAAATAAGTAAATGATGTTTATTCATATACGCCCAGATTATATTCAGTTGCATGGACATGCAGAAATCTTCTGCGCCTTGAAATATAATTGCGATGAATTGGTTGACAACATATTTTGTTTATATTCGTTCATCAAATTGGAGCGTGACCTCAGTAATCGACTCATTGATCATTGATCGAGCTGATCAAAGGATGACACTTATGTTACGTTGACCAGCATTCATCGCACATGAACGAGCGAATATTTAACTATGAATAAGCAAACCACTATGAAAGTAACGTAATGCTTATCTCTTGCTAATATGATTATAAATAGCAATGCAGCAAGCGCAAAATACGCAGCAAAACTGCAGACGCTAACCAATTTCGATGAAATCAAAACATGAACAGAAAATTTTAATGCAGTGATGGCCATTTTATTATCACTCGTATAAGCTAAAGAGTCTCATTTTCAACTGTATTCGACAAAATTTGACTACACATATGCTAAATTATATTATGCCTAAAAACACGGCATATTGACAGATAATTATGAACTTTTTTCAATCAATGGCCAAGGTATTAATGAACAAAAATCACTTTTTTAACAAAGCTAGCCTAAAAAACAGTGTATACGCGAGGTACCTGGAACGCGACGCTTGCCTTAAAGGCGACCTGCAGGTGAGCTGCCGTGCTAGCGGGTGCAGCGATGTAGCAGCGCCTGCTGCCCATACTTAACAATAATAATAGCATGCATAACATCGTGTTATAATGATTGCATAACATCGTATTATAATAGCATGGCATAACATCGTATGATAATGGCTTTATAACAGAAAAAAGTACGATAATGGCTGTGTAACATAACACAAGGCATGATAATGGCTGTATAACATAACACAAGGCATGATAATGGCTGTATAACGTAACACAACGCATGATAATGGCTGTAAAACATAACACAGCATGATAAAGACTGTATAATATAACACAACGCATGATAATGGCTGTATAACATAACACAAAGCATGATAATGGCTGCATAACATAACACAACGCATGATAATGGCTGTATAACATAACACAACGCATGATAATGGCTGTATAACGTAACACATCGCATGATAATAGCTGTATAACATAACCCATGGCATGATAATGGCTGTATGACATAACACACATGATAATGTCTGTATGACATAACACACATGATAATGATTGTATAACATAACAATTGTGTAACATGTATCATGATGTTATAATACATGTGGCTGCGGTACAACATCAAAGAATGAGACCTTCCTCACTTCTACTATAGGGAAGATAGTTCATCTATTCAAAGTAGACTTATGTGCAATATGTTACTTCATATGAAGATGAATTGCAATACTTAAAAATGTGCATGCTGCCAGCTGAAATTGCGCGTCTCCGACATCATATTTAAAACTTTTTTCTACATAATAAACGCGATGATGTGATGAATCATCACACCAAAGACACTACACCAAGAAGTTCTAAAAAAAAACTAGCCCGTAGCCTCTAATTGTCATATGTATAATTATGTCCATAAAAGCTCACCGAGCTCATCACAGCGACAAATTTGCACTAAACTCTGCATAATAAACTTTGACGCTTCAAACTTTAGGAATTTGGCAGGAACTTCACGAATTTTCAAAGTACTTTGATCTTGTCACAATCTTAAATTAGGCTCGGAATCCCATACCATTTCAGAATATTGCGTTCGTTTCTGGAACGAAAGAGAAGTAATCATGAACGAGTAATATCATTTAATATAATAGATTCGTAAAAATCTTTCTCTTATGTGAATTTTAACCAGCTAATAAATTCATTCATCATTCGGGTCATAAAATTTCCTTGATAGCAAAGATTTTCTTCATTGCAAAGACATAAAAATCAGGGAGAGCAAAGTTGTAGTTTACATAATCCCGATTTTAGCTCGCGTAAGCTTCAAGTTATAGAATAGTTCAAGAAAGAAGGTTTGCACAGGAGTGAAGTTTGCACAGCTAGAATTGAAATGAAGTCTCTATAAAAATCGAAAGGAAACACAGCGTTTAATTGGTTGGAATACCACAACGGAAAGTAGAGTGAAACTTAACTAATGCTAGAATGAATAAGGAGATTGGTAACAAGAATGGAAAAGTAGAATGGTATGTGGAATGGATAAGCAGAATGGTATCTGGAATGGATATATAGAAGGGTATGTGGAATGGATTGGTAGATGGTGTGTGGAATGATATGAACATTTGTACGTTGATATTGAGTAGACTCTCACGAAGTACCCCGGTTCGTGTACGGATAAGTAGAATGCTGTGTAGATCAATACGCACACGAATACGGGAACAGATTATTTGGCTAATATGGTTAGGAATATATTCACTTATGTGTTGTTGTTGAATAAGCTGGCATATGGAGTGACACGTACACCTTTGATAAGACGTATACATGGATTGGCATTCGGAGTAAAATGTGCAGCAAAGTGTAGACGGATCAGTGGACTGACAAGTGTGAAATGTAGAGCAAAATGTCATTGACACCTTAAGTTAAATGTACAGCAAAGTGTAGACGGATTAGTAGACTACCACTTACTAGTGCGAAATGTACAGCAAAGTGTAATTGACACCTTGAGTTAAATGTACAGCAAAGTGTAGAAGGATTAGTAGACTGACTAATGTGAAATGTACAGCAAAATGTAATTGACACGTGAAGTTAAATGTACAGCGATGTGTAGACGTATCAATAGACTAACTCGTAGTAACATGTACACTAGTACGGTAAGTACATAACGCTTGGGCTTCTACGAAGCGGAAGTTGTACATGACAGAGGCGATGCGATGGTATGGGCTGAGTTGGACAGGGCAACGAGGATTCAAACTTTTGGTGATAGCAGAAGTTGTGCAAATTATAGAAGATGAACCTACAGCTCCGTGGCAGGGGAAGGCCGTGCAACTTCGCAGCCTATAACAATGCTCATTAATTTGTAACGAAATCTCGGTGTCGAAAAAAACTTTTCCGTTTTGAGCGAATAAAAATTAATTTGAAAAATTGATTAAAGTTGAAAAGCAGCACGGCGATGCAGAGTAGCACACTGTACGGCGGCCTTGTGCTATACAGCGTTTGTAAACAAATATTTTTGTGACGTTATATTATACAGCCATTAATTGCCGTAATTATATTTTTACACCGAAGATAAACTGAAGATTTTTTATGTAGTCCGCAGTCACTAGTAGCACCACACGGCACCATCACTAGTGGCACCACACGGCACCATCACAAGTGGCACCACACGGCACCATCACTAGTGGCACCACATGACACCATCACTAGTGGCACCATCATTAGTGGCACCACCACTAGTGCACCACACGGCACCATCACTAGTGGCACCACACGGCACCATCACTAGTGGCACCACACGGCACCATCACTAGTGGCACCACACGGCACCATCACTAGTGGCACCA